CCTTTTGCTGCGAACATATCCAAAAAAGCCCTTTTTGTTGTTCTTAAATTTGTGACTTCAATTTACAGGGCATGCTTTCTAAGCAGTGACAAACATGCAGCCTTCCAGATGTTGCTGGACTGCAGTTATTAATTCCATCCCCACCCCCAAAATTGGGTATGATGGCCAAGGCTGCTGGGACTTGCAGTCTAACAATATCAAGAGAGCTGCACTCCTCACCATATCTAAAGAATTCCCAGATGGCAGTCATTATTTTAAAACAATAATGGATGAGGTTGACACTACTTGCCTTCTTTCAGTATCATTCTGAAGATTTCCCAAGAACCTAGGTTTGTTCAGATATATCAGGGTTGTTGTTGGTGGTGGGGATACCTACTTAATCTACTGCTTACTGTCTTACGTGTCTTTTCTCACATACGTATGTGCAAAACTTGCTAAATATATATAAACGCCAACTGCCACTACGTATTGTGGTCAGGTCTCCTTTTCTGGGAACTTCCCCTTGGAAATCCCTATCGCTCATCTCTTGGGGGAAAATTTGTTAACACATTGTCTCTGTTAGCATCACTCTTCTGGGCTCAACACAGAGCTTAGAGATGTGACTTTTGGGGTCCAGAAATTCCAGAAACTCATAGCCATAATGACCACAGGCCATGCTGGCTTTCTGACTCTACGCAAGTAACTATCCCAAGCTATGTCTCAGGGTCCCCAGAAGGTGAATCATTGTCATGGATGGAGGGGATCAGATGCATCTAATCTTGGCATGGCATAGTACAGCCTGTGGGCTTGTTGGGGACACTGCAACTTAAGCATGCTGAGTCTTAAGATAGTTTATTGTTTTATGACCCCTCATTTCCTCCTTCTCTAAGAGCACACTTTTCTTTCTCCCTGGAGAGATCACCATTATCCTCTTTGTTTTGGTCCAGAGCAGCATGACTTCCTAACATGCTGATTGGAAACTTTATTAAGAAGCACATATAGACTACTTTTTCTACCTCATTTCTTTGCAACATGAAGCTTTTTACCTGTGTATATGTGTACACATGATTTTGTAATCTATTTTATTTTTCTCTCTAAAGACTTTGTATTGATTCTTTTGGGGGGCAGACACAGGGATTCGTAGTGTGGGAGAAGAAAAGGAGTGGATTAGTTTGCTTTCCTGCTCATGCACTTTCTGCTGTGTTTACTTTGCTGGTGAGATTCCTGAGCTTTCTAACAAATCTCAAGAAAAATTCCATCAGGGTTGTATGCAC